TAATAGCTTAAGAAGTAAATAAGCACAAGATACTTGCCTTTGTTAACAGCGAAGGTCTGATTAACCTTTATACCTGCAGGGACAATGTAAATAGGTTTAAATGAAAAACCTTCCTAGGGCGCACACATTTTAAATATGGCTTTTACACGCTATTTGCATAGCAAGTGTATAGGCAAATGGCTCAGCAAAATGGATTGTTTTTTATCTCCGTGCATGAGTAGTTTGGATTCAGCTAGCTTGCTTTTGGCCGAAATGAAGTTTGGGATGGAAGTCCTTCTGTTTCTCTGTTCAGTTACTAACTCAAACCAGCATCTATTCTAAAGATACTAGAAGGTACACACAGATTGCATTTGCTCCTTCTCTAAGACACATACTGTTGTGCTTTCTGATTTGACAGTATTAATACAAATGTGATATTAACCTTAACTTTTATATGTAGAAATAAACTTCTCTAAGGCTTTAAAGGTGGATTTATGAAAATCATAATCTGTCGTTGCTACACTTCTCTGCTATTCTTCCTGAAGACAAAGGATACCATTGCCTGGGAATATCATTTTGAAATCTGTAAATATTTATTGGGTTGCAGAAGTGGAGAATTGTGTGATACTTGAACATGATCCAGCATTTGAGTGTTACAGGCACTGTGCCTAGCTGAAATGGCTGGCTGCACTGCATCTTGCATATATTAAAACCCCAATTTTTTCCTGAATTTTTGGAAAATCAGAGTTACTACGATTGCGCAACAGAACACTCCTAATCATTTGATGGTCTTTGAAAGCAAATGTTGAAGAAAATTAATCTCTGATGAATGTTATTAAATGTTGATGTAACATTAGCTTTACAATTTCTTTATTAGCTTTGCATCCCCGCAGTTTTTGAAACTACTGGAGTGTTGTAAGTGTGGCAGGTTTGTGCTGCCGTTGTCATTTAAGAAATAACTACTCACCTGGTGTGGTTTTGTTTTGAAATGGTTCTTCGCTTTATAGGTGTATTAACCTGTGATCGCTTAGATAATGATGATGTAAAGCTGCCCTTTTTTTTTTTTTTTTAAATGGTTCTAAAATTGATCTTTTTCAGAGCGCTTTTATTAGGCCTGGCTTGCAATCACAATCTGAAGGAGGTGTCTTTAGATCTCAGTAGCTGTGAGGTAAGGCATATTTATCAGGATGTGTTCAAAAGGTACAATGATGTGGAATTAGAGTTCCTGTGAAATCCACTGGGAGAGATACTCTTCCTCTGTAGTCAAAAGTTGTGGGAAAGGTAGAACTCAGAGAGACAGTTATGGTAAAAATCAGCTGCTGTGTCTCACACCATCCTAAATAATGAGCACAGAGGTTCAAAGCACCTGCAGCACCTGATTGGCAGAACCCTCCACGCAGGGTAGCTGTTCTAGAGACTGAACCGGCATGTTTGCTGCTTGACAGCTTCTGCTGTCTGGTGCTGTGATTACACAGAACCCTGCAGCAGGATTTTTCCAAGGTACTCAAATTTGAATGGGTCGCAGGAAGCTGCATGTCCTGAAGGCATGTCTGTGGTTTGATTGTCTTCCTTCAAAACTGGAGACGTGCTGCTGCTTCTGCAGGTCTGCTTCTTAACCTTGGGAGAAATTCTGCTTTCCTAATCAATTAATTCAGGTCAGTATGGAACTTGGTAAAAGTTGATTGAAGCATGCCATTAACATACGAGGCACTGTGCAAATGGCTTTAAATATCTCTAGAACAAATAAAAACAATTGTGGCAGCTTTATTTGCTTTATCTTGTTTCCTCTTGCTTCTCTGCGCTTCGCTGTGCACTTTGTTGCTCAGGATTGTCCATGCTCTTGCAGGATAATACCTGCGTGGCTACAGGTTATGACAAAAGATCAGCCACGACCCTGGAGAGCCAGTGAGGCAAAGTTACGTAGACAACTGTGTGGACTCTTGCCAAAACCAACTTGAACCAGCTTAGGCTCAGGCCTTCTCTAGCTGAGCAGCCGCCTTTTCCTTTTTAAGCTGCAAAGAAAGTCTCGCACTTGTTAGGCAGATCTTTCCAAGTCCATCAACTGAGTATTAATTGTTCTGGAAGTACCGTTCAAATGCAGTGGTTTCTATTTAAGTAGAAAACACGTAATTGGATGAACACGTTGAGGTGCAGTCATCCTTAGGTTCGTGGTCAATTGCTTTTGGAACGTGCACAGATTTCCTTACGAAGAAAAAACCACATCATTGTGAATGCATTTCACAGTTTGTTTTGATATTTTATACTTTTAAAAAAATGGTGTTACTTTGAAGAGCACTACATGTAAATTACAAATAGAAAAGCTTTCAAATCAAGTACACATGCTTCTGACTTCTGAGTAGAGAGATCAGACAGATGATAATTTTTCTTTCAGAGGGAGGAAGGAAAAGGGAGGAGTAATTAAAGTAACGAAAATCAAGTCCTGTAATCATAACCCTAAAAGAATATATCAATAAAACACAAACATAAGTAATGAGAGTATAAATTAGCATATAAATCAAGAGGGCTGACAGGTGTGAAAATATTACCCTTTCATTAAATAACCTCCAGGATGGGAAATGGAGGAGCCCTTTGAGGGGCGATTAGCTTTATTGGACACCAAAGCACACGTGGTCATGGCCGACTCTCATAACAGAAAGGAAAGAATCGTGCCCAACTCACAGTGTTGCGTTCCCGTAGCTGGTCCCTCCAAACTGACAGCACTTCCTTAGATCCTTCCCTTAACATTTTTTCACATCACTGAGCTTTATCCATTCTCACGTGCTTTGGAAAGAAGAAGTTATGCTTCCACCTGCAGGGGAGTTGATGTGCCAGGAGCTGGGAGTATTCTCAGGGGTACTGCTCCACCTCTCCCTCACCCTCTGTCAGCTGGGCAAGGTAATCTGCACCCAGGAACAGAGCTGTGGGAAGCTGGAAGCCGGTGACCTGCACTACTCCCCATTCCTAGGAGGCTAGAAAGCTGATGCTTCAGCTTTACCCTTCTCTTTCCTACATCAGGCAAGCTGTACTCAACTACGGAAGAATAAATCTCTTTGTTCCTTCCCTCTCCCACCACTTTTCATTTGCTCCCATAATTTTCTGGTATATTAACTTCAAGCTTAATCATTTTATATTGCTTGTTTGGTTGTTTTTTTATTATTTTTACTATGAAAATTACATTTTTATTTCTACCTGCTCAGCACTGATGTATTTCACTCTTTTCCCTTCTGCTTCCCTTAGCTTGGTCACTGTGTAAGTACCCTCCATGCTTTACCTTAATTGTTAAATCAGTAAGCAGCTTTGTTTGCCCTTCACATACTGGTACCTCATAGCTTTGAACACGCTTGGCATTTTTAATTGTTGAAGAGTCGTTCTTCATTTTCTGAATAAGAGCATGTATCTGTAGTCTCAGATGTATGTCATATAGGAGATGTTGCAGAGCTGAGTTTTTTCAGTATCACAGTCCACATTGAGAAATAGCCCTTCAAGTAATCTCTGCTTTATATATATATACACGTGCATACATAATTTTAATACACTTGCAATAAATTTTGATCCTAAAAGTCAAGTTGTTATCACTCTCAGATTAAATAGATATCACCATTTGCGCACACGAAATGTTTGTGTATTTGAGATTTTGAATATAGAGTTATCAGTACAAGAGATTGAAAGCTGCTCCTGAAAAATTATCCACTTCAACCCTCAAAGTATATATAGCATAAGCATTTGGATTCAGTTGTGAATGTAATTTTAGTGTATAGAACTTTTACCATACCAACAACCAATCCAAGACCGCATTTAATCTGCCAGTTCCATAGATTGTGCAATAAGCGATGTGGCACTCTATGTAAAATGGTTGTCTTGTGGTGGGCGATGCTGAGAGAGCAGCACAGAGCAAAACTGAATGATTTTGGCATTCATACAGCAAATGTTACAAATGATCTTCCGAAAATAAAATTGAGTTAAAATTGAACCAGTTCTGGCCCAAATACAGTTCTTCAGAGGATAGGGTGAAGGATAGGTAGGTTTTGTTGTATGCAGAAGAGGAAAGGTGTCTTTATGTTCTGTATCTCTTACACTTCCAGATGTGACTTATGATTTAGATGTTGTCTTTGACCACTGCTGTTCTTTAAACGCTCAGGCCAAGCTATTGAGCTTCTTGTTAACCAATTGCACATCTCAAACTTTCTAAAAAGTGCCAAAACAACTATTTATTGAAAAATACTTCTAGAAAGCATTTGTGGTTCCTTAATTATATCATGGATAAAAGAAATATCAGCAGGTTGATTCAGGACATGTAGCCAAGTCAGTCGACTAAGTGAACTATTTCTAACTTTTTATGCACAGGAGGTGAAAAGGCTATTTCATGTCTGAAAAAACTTTCCATTCTTTTGAAGCAAGGAAAGTGAAAATGGAAAATCCGAAAATAGATTTTTAGTAGAACTTCTCTCCTCTTTTGCATAAGTCTTTTGCTGGGGGATATTTGTAAAGTGAAATGCACTTTATATAGTTTGTGTAGCTGCAAGAAATGAGAAAATGCTTTTCCTTCTTTGGAAAAAAAAAAAGTTGCATCATTTAATTCACTAGCATTAGTAAATAACTGCGTAAGTTTTCATAACTTTGATTCTTGATGTTTTCCCCTAGACAGTTTAATTGTTTTTTCATTAAATCCCGACATTTCTTTTATATTCATTTAATATTTCAGATTAATACTATAATAATCGATACTTTCCAGCTAAGCATGTTTGTTGTTGTTGCTGCTTTTCTCTTTTATGCCTATTTTTAAATTAAGAATAAATTACTCATTTCTCTTGTGTATGGTCTTTTGTGGCCATTTTACAATTGGATTATTTAAATTTTATTTTCAGTGAAAAAGAAACATAATTTCATTGGTTATCTTATTTATTTATTTATTTTATTTATTTGCTACTCATTTTTGATCTGGGCACCCTAGCATTGTGCTAAGAACTGAAAGAAGATGCTCACTGTAAGACTTGACTGTAGAGGAATTCAAGAGTGACAGTGTTGCATGCTTATAGGCTGGGCTTAGTTTATTTTTTTATTTTTTTTTCTCACTGAAGGTTGGAAATGTCCTGGCCCTTTCATGTAGAGGACCCTCACCAAAGCCCTGCAGTCACTGCCTAGCACAAGTGCTAAAGGTCTCCTTCTGTTTATACCATTTAAATCTTTTCCTGATTTAACTGCTGAGCATTAGTTTTAAGAGAAAGGAAAAAGAGTCCCTTTTCTTATTTATATGCAGATAGTGAGAAGGAAGGATGAGAATAGTAGAAATGTGTGCACAGGCTGTCACGTTGATGTCTGTAACTTCTTCTGATGCTGTTGGTTTTGCCGCTGGTAGCGCCTTCTGTATTCAGAAAGCTCCTACCACTGTTTTCTGTGTGATCTTGAAACCGTAACTAGTTTGCAAAAATGGATGATGTTTTGTCTCTAGTTAAGATCGGGAGGTGCACAAGTCTTGGAAGGATGCATAGCAGAAATACACAATATCACCAGCCTAGATATTTCAGACAATGGTAAGTACACAGAACAGGAATGGAGGGTCGTGCAAGTCGAGAATCCGAGAAACACTTTTTCTTTCAGCTCACAGCGTAATCAAGGATGGTTGCTCTTGCTTTATGATTATTGGCCATATTGGTTATGGAAATGTCTCAGACAAAGAACTCTTACTGCTATAAAGTATATAAGAAATGTTAATGGACTAACTGTACCCTCAAAAGTTGATGTTGCTTGAGATCAATGTAACACAGCAGAATAAACTGATGGCAGCAAGCGTCACATTAGATCTAGAGGAAAGTGGGTTTAAGGACAAGAGGATGAGAAGCTAAATGAGAAATGTGAGTGTAGTGAAAAAAGAAAGGGAAAGACCAGGTACAGAATGAAGCAGAGGTGGTGATGCTGAAGAAGCAAGAGAGGAAAATTTGGAGTAACTGGTCAAACAGCTTCAGGTCAGAGAAGGCCTGCTTGAGTTTTTGGAAAACTCTTGGACTATTCCTGCTTTGGAGGCTCTGTGCTTCCTAGCTGGGAATACCAGCTGGCTTCTCATCTTGCAAACTCAAAGTGTAGATGTATGGTATGGAAGAATTCAGCTGCTGTGTTTGCCCCTCTGACAGCCAACTGCAGAAGTATTTCAGGAAGAGATTGCCAGTACAGTTGAATGCCTGAGAAAGGTGGGACGGATTGGCGAGTGAAAAGCTTTGGGAGCTACTGACTCAGCCCAATTATGTAAACAGATTGATTGTTATAAATAAATATATTTGAGATCTAAATTATCCTGCAGATCTGGCTACTAAGTGATTGTAATCTAACTAATGGACTCTTCAAATACACCACTAGTTTGGGAATACAATACTACAGCAAGTTGTTTTTCTTACTCAGGAGTAGAATAAAATTTGTCTTATTTTTCAGGTAATTTTATTCATAGCCTGTTATGTTAGCCTTTTTGCACTTGAAGGCTTTGAGACCTTGTTGGTACACAGGTCTACTAAGACTAAATAGCAATTAGTGTGGTCTCAAAATTCTCAAAGAAACTTTAAACTCTTCCTGACAATGGGAGGAACTACCCTTGGGTGGTTGGACTGCAGATGAGGGACTATGTTTCTCTTCTGTATTTCTGAGAGGTGCCTTCAATGGCTGATTAGGATGGAGATTTAAAGGGCTCATTTTGGAGAAAGCATTTATTCTCATAGAAAAAGAGGCAAAAAAAAAATTTAAAATAAAAGAATGGAAATTTTTCTAGAGCTCTTGGAAACTAGTACGCTGATATACTTACTTGAACGAGCATAGCATTAATAATTGGACCCTGTCTGGGTCTTTTGTGAAAATGTGTTTTAATTCTTAATCTAATCTGATTCTTTACAGGCCTAGAATCTGACCTCTCAACCCTTGTAGTCTGGCTTAGTAAAAACCGATCGATAAGACACTTGGCGTTAGGCAAAAACTTTAACAACATGAAATCCAAGTAAGGCTTTTCTTTCTTTTAAATAACAAGAGAACGGATGAGGAGAAGCTGCCAATTTCATCGTCTTCCTAACTTTTCTTCCCTCAGAAATCTCACTCCAGTACTTGATAATTTAGTTCAGATGATTCAAGACGAGGATTCAGTGAGTATCTTTCTGCCTACTATCATCATGTGTATTTGTACCCTCACAGCCTTTTTCTGATAATTTTCTTCACTGTGTTAATTTGCTGCATAAGATTTGATCATGATCCTGCACAGACACATCCAACATTTTGGGTTTTTTTCCAAATATTAATTTGGGTTATGCGTAGCATGTAGGTGAATGTTTCTCAGGATAGCCTTAGGATCTGTGCTTGTTGAAAAATATTCATTCTAAATAGTTGGATATACTTAACCGAGTTGTTTTAGGTCTAAATTATACAGCCCTGTAGGCATGAGTTTTCAAAACTTTGTGTCCTGATAGGAGATTACAATGGTAGTGTTCTCTGGGTGGTGATACTCCTTCAATAACTCCTTCTTTTTTCTAATTAATAGAATGCACTATTTTCCTGATAGTTGTTCTTGGGCTTTAGCTTTTTTTTTTTTTCTCTTGATGAAATGCGAAGTCACTGCAGTGATATCCCAGAACTCCTTTCTTCTTCAAAAGATGCAAAAACCCTGTTCACTGTGCTGTTCTTTTCTTCTCCTAGTACATTTATCACGGGAACAATTTCATAAAACCCTTTCAGAGTGCCTTCCCGGGATCCTTGCGCACTTTCTTCATTTCCACCCTCTCTCCTGATTCTGAAAGGCTTTTGTGGTTGGGTTTGTGTTCTTGCTTTACTTGGCATCCTACTTTTGGCTAGAAGGGAATCTTAAGATGCTCTGTTGCTCTCATGCTTGTCAATCTTTTGTCATCTATTCTTATTCCTTTCTTTCTCCTTCATTCCCCATGTAAGTAACAAGCAAGCTCTGCTTTCCTCATTCTCCAGAAATAGCTGACTATAGACTTCAGTTGTCTAAACACCTGCTATTCCTGTTGTCTTTATTGTCTCACCTCCAAGTTCATGGTCTCCACACTAACTACTTTCTTATTTTCTCCTCCCATCTGTGTCTGCACCTTGCAATTCAGAGGAACAGTTTTTACCAGGGTTTCCAATGTCTCCTTCCATACAAGGAGTCATTAGACCCATATTCTGTGTTCATCTTTTCTACTCCTTAGTTATATTTGAAGTGATTTGTTAAACTAGTCCTCTCTCCTCTCTGTGTGCTCTTAACTGGGATTAGTGGTACTGTTTTTTCTTGATTCTTTGCCTATCTCATCACCTTACTCTTTAAAACATGGGATGTCAGTGTGACAGTGTGAAGTGCTGCATATGGATACCAGAGCTGATTCTAACTGAGTTAGCACCTGTAATGAAAGCAGTAAGTCCTTGTTTGCATGAGTCTGATGGAGCATCGTGCTAAGAAGTGTATTGGTAGGTGTCCATACCAAACTAGCCTTTTCATTTTGTGGTGTGCGACCACCTCCTCCTACTGTCTCTAAAGGGAATGCACGGTGCAGGGCTGTTTTCCCCTCCTCTCCTTTTCCTGTTGATACCTTATCACTCCATCAGATAGCACCTGCTTTTCTCTTTGGACATTTATCTCTGTCCTGTCCTGTATCTCATGCTTAATCTTGCACAGTTATCCTGAAGACTATTACGTCAAACCAAATTAATCACAAGCAAATGTAATTTAGTATGTTTTTTCTCAGTTTCCTTCATCCCTTTGCTCTGTTGCAGGTGAACATTTTTTTCCCACTCAGGCCATATCCTAAAACACCTCTTCAACACACTCTATTCTTCCTTCCAGTATCCAAACTGTCTCCTCAAGCATGCTGTTGGGTTTTTTTTCCTATTTATGCGACTATCCTGTTCATATTATCTGTTTGCAAGGATAAAAATTCCAATTTTCACCTTATTGTCTCTATTAAGTGTTACAACCTTCTGTTTATCTGTCCTGGCTTCTGTTTTTGAAGCTTCCAGTAGCTGCTAAATTTTGGATGTATCATTCTCACAGCTCTTCCTCCCTTACATCATCAGCTTCAACTTCTTGTGCTCCTTTTCTTTTCAGCCCATGGATGATGTCATTGTTCCACTTTCTGCCTTTTCCACAGCCCAGTGATCAGATGTGCTCCTGTAATTCTTACTCACCATGTCTTTCCTGAGCTAACCTACACAACACGCTCTGTTGTCTCATCCTGTTTTCAAACAGTGTTTCAATGAAATAATCCACCAAAAAGTGACTTTATTTAGGTACTTAAAATAACTGCCTCTCCTTCATGTCATGGATTAACATTTGGGATAGAGCATATGATCCTGTCAGTGTTACCATGTCTCTTCTCTCCTTATGCTCTTTTCTCTTGTTAATCATCTTCAGTGAAGGAAACTTTTCTTTCTGTCTCATCAGGTGCTAAAATCAATCTGAAGCCTCTCCTACCAGCTACAGAGTTGAGGACATAGACTCTGTAGCACCATGGGAAAAGCATATTGTTGCAGATAGCTGCCTAGGATTGTCCTCGCTCTACCTTGATGCTTAGAAAATGATTTTAAGTTTCTAGCTAGTTTGGTTTGGTTTTGAATCTTAAATGTGGTGGTCCTCATTCTACCGTTACTATGCATTTACTGCCACAGGACATTACAAAGTAGGAGTGGAACTGGAGAGACCGGGGTATGTATGATGTTGCCCAGAGCATACTGCATGATCATTGTTGCCTGCAGGCTGGTACAGTTTAGGGACTGTGCATTATCTGCATGGAAAACTGAAGCAAGAGGCTTTAGTCTAAAATAGTTCTCTGCCAAATGCTTCTTCATGTATTTATACACACTTTAAATAGATCTGTTGCTGTGATAATATGAGTCATGAGTAAAAGGATTTAAACAATCAATAGCTTGGTTTTATGACTGTAAAAGTACAGCTGGATACAAATGTAATTCTACACAGTTTAAAAGCAGCAGCAGTAACCTAAAAAGCAAAATTTTCCAGGTGTTTAATGTAGACAAGAATGTAATATTTAGATTTGTTTTGTTTTCTCTTTTTAAGTAGATGCTGTACTGTGCAGGCTATAATAATGTATTCTTATTAGTATAGCAGGAAGTGTCTGAAGCTGTATGCTTACTGTGCCATTTCTTTTCTTCATGCAAAAATAGATGTTACACTGCAGGCACAGTGTACCATTACTCAGAGTGGTAGTCAGTCCATGGGTGCGGAGAATTACTACAGCACCGAATATCTTTAGTTCTTAGTTCAGTGTTTGTTGCAGAATTGGCCTTTTGAGGGTTTTTACAGTATTTTTGTTTGTAGGAGAACAAATTTAGCTTGATTTAATTCTTAAATGTTTTCCAGTAAGAGTATGACAAAATCAATGAATACAATCATACAATTTCTAATTCTATTCTTTACTTTAAGAATTCCTCTTCCTTAATAAGATTGTATTAAGACATGTTCACTGTGTTGGCAGAGTATCTATTTTCTGCAGCAGGGCCACTGAAGTGCTTGTCAGACTTCTGTTTTCTCAATATCCAGCTAAAATTATTAAGTTGTTACAAGAAGTAAATGTTTGTAGGCTAGGTAGAATATTGCCACTACTTAGGGGGGGATTTGGTTTTGGTGGGGTTTTTTGTTTGTTGTTGGTTGGGTTTTTTAATATAATAGATAATTTAATGAATATTACCAGCCTGTACATTTAGTCATACAGAGTTACATTCTGATTGCAGTTCAGAGCACCAAGTGAGTCCAGAGGCTTTTGCTCCTTGCTCATTGAGTAAATGATAAGGGTAGCTGTGAAAGCAAACTGGCAGTCAATCCACTTCAAAGACACTGCCAATACAGCAGGTGTTTTGCTGTGCTATATGTGTATTTTGTATGTGATAGTAATGATGTATAGCTGTCAGTCCTTGCAGAAGATAGTGCAGAAGCCTTTTCAAACCATGAACTGTTTTGTCAGGGTGTTGGAATGTGAGAGGTGAGAAATCCTTCCTGGGAGGATATTTGAGATTTAGAAAAATTGGTATGTGGGAGGGAGCACCTCCAGCTAAGTTACTCAGATGCCCCTTTCTAAAGTCACACAGGAGAAACAGAAGAAACTTCACTTTCACAAGCTTATCGGTGATTTCTGAGTGCTGCGCGATGCTGCTTTTCTGTGAATCTGTCTGTCACAGGAGGTCTTCTCAAACTTGTGCCAAGAGCTCTAAGTGCCATTCTAATGTGATGATAATATTCTTTAGGGTACATAATGTAATAAAACAGGGAAACATAAACAGATTAAGGGCATTAACATAGTAATTTAATAACTTCCATTTAAAATAAAACCAGCATGTCGCTTGTGTTACTGTTAGACTTTTTAATTATAAACCTGCTGTGCCTCCAAATTTTTATGTATTTCCTCATTTATAAGTGCATTTCTTATTGTTGCAAGCTTTTTGATTATCACTGTAATCCAGTGGTGCCCGACGGCTGGAGTCCCATTGTATAGGAGACACCGTGCAAGTATCTTGGACCCTGGAAGGTGTGCACAGTTCAGCTGGTTTATTTATATTAATCTAAGCTTTAGGCATCTAGCGTAGGTACCATGGTTCATCCTTGCAAGATGTTGACTTTCCCATACTGACACTGTGGAAATTTTAGGCTCCTAAAATTCATCCTCCAATACATGCCTAAGTGGATATGTAATGATAATACACTCTTCTTGAGCAAGGGAAATGTTTCGCGGAGTTCATGTACATCAGCAAAGACAAATTACAATTTTAGTAGCTGTAATACCTCTGCAAGGCATGGTGATGGATAGACTGTAGTTCTTGAGCTCAGCCATTGAGTGTTGAGACATTCAGAATGGAGGGAATACAAGCATTTTTAAAACAATTTTTCGTAAGGCTTAGAGTGTGACTTGCAGTCACAATAAAGTAGTTTCAGCTTAATGTAGTACATTAAAAAAAAGTTACATAAAGATATTGCAATCACAGGTGTCAGAACACCACTGTGAATAATATCCATTGACTCACTCATTTTAATAGATACTCTTCTGTTTCTAATTTCAGACCTGCTACAGTTTTCTATCTCTTATCTCCCAAATGTCCATGTCCTTAGTTGAAGGAACAGATACGCAAAATCACTCCTAAAGTCGAAGTAACAATAATAAAACAGTTAAAGGAATTGGTTTTGTTTTAATAATGTCTCAGATCCTAATTTTCCCTTGGATAAAGTTTTCAGTCTGAAGGAGGAGAGGACTGCTAGATATTTTTATGTCTCACTGACAGGGAAGCGTGCTGGGTAAGCAAAATCCACTGGACACTAGAGGTTGTCTTGCAAAGCTGGTTGTTGCTATCTTGCCTCTTTTCAGGTTCCCACTGTATTTTGTACAATGGCACTTAAAAATGTGGAGGCACTGTCACTTAAAAATGTGGGTTTTTTCAGGGTGTTGTAACTTAATCTGTGTGTGTGTATGTGTTTGACACCTGTGCTGTAAGTTGTTGACTCCCAGTTTATCATGTCTTGTAGGATCTGCAGCAAAGACAGAGATAACTCTTTGATGCTTACTGCTGTCTCCAAGAGTTTGGGGAACTTGTAACTTCTTTTGGTTGATGTTTGAGGAATGAGTGCATTATCTGTTGCTGTTATCAGTGCCTTTTCTGTGCTCCACAGCCTCTGCAGTCATTGTCCCTCGCAGATTCCAAGCTGAAGACTGAGGTCACCATCATTATTAATGCCTTGGGCAGCAATACTTCTCTTACAAAAGTGGATATTAGTGGAAATGCCATGGGTGATATGGGAGCAAAGATGCTGGCAAAAGCTCTACAGATAAACACCAAGCTCAGGTAAGGGAAACATATTTGCAGTAAAAGATAGAATGGCTTAATAATACTGAAGTTGTTGGCTTATTCTCAAGCTGCTTCTCTTCAGAACCCTCCTAGGTATAGCCACTTTATAGTGTCACCATTTGGAAAGATTCTCAACCTTTTTTCTTACCAAAAAAAAATCAACAAACAAACAAGAGAAGCAAATTGTCTCTGTGAAAACATTTCCATAACTAAAACTGGAGAAAATTACATTTTCTAAATTTAAACAGAAAGACCTCTTTTTGGAACAAGAGGGCGCTAATTTTTCTAGAATCATAGAAGAAAAAATTACCTTGTTATGTAGCTCCGGATGTCATCTCACCCAATGTCGTTCTGAAAGGAGGGCCAACTTTAAAGCTATATGAGATTGCTCAGGACCTTGTCCAGGCATGTTTTGAAGATCTCCAAGTACAGGGATTCCACAGTGTCTCTGGGAACCCTGTTCCAGTGCTTACCCACTCTCTGCTGTTCTGCTCTCTCTTTTCTACTGGAGGCCTACCCAGCAGAGAAAATTCTGATACTTGGGTGGGAAACTAAAGTAAATTATTCTTTGTCTTTTGGAGAATCAGTTTGTAGGAGAACTAGGAGCATGTGGAATTCAGAATGGGTAGCAGCATGGATTCCTCCTTCCCCTCTCCACTGCCTATAGCACTGATGGACCTTGGCATCTCTTCTCTGCAACTTCATCTGCCTGACAACGTCACTGCTTCTTAGCACATGTCTGGCACTAATGGCTTGAGAATATCACTTTTTTCTATCCAGCACGTGACTAGCAAACAGTAAAACCTTCAGTCAGCATGAATCTGGATGGGGACCTCTAAATATGTCACCATCATCAAGAAAGCTAATCCTCACTCCTCTTGTCAGACTGTGCAGATGAACCTTCATCAGTGTATTGTCTGTGTGAAGAGACTCCTTTGTGTTTGGTCTCCAAGCATTTCTTCCCTGGAGGATAAGAAATGCCCCAGAACAGTCCTGGTGATTTTGTTCAGAAGCAGGAATCCTGGTCTTTATGTTGCTATGCCCAAACTGAATATTGAAAATATCACTAAAAACACTGGTGGCTTAGTTTTATAGAATGTATTAACCTGAAATGACCACAATACCTGAAGAAATAAAGACTTGATGGCTTTCAGGATGGTAAACTGAAATGTTTCACAGTACACCGAATGTCACGATTGACATAATGTCACCACAGTCTGTGGTGTGATTACAAACTGAATAATGCAATGGTAACTGGCTTTGCTTAAAATGTTATAAAATCACATCCGTGTAGAAATATATACACACTTCCCAATGACAAAGATATCCAAGATTTGACCCTAAGCATATCTGATCTTTGCGGAGTGGGTGTAGAATCTCTCTTCCTCTCCTCCTTACCTCCATCTTTCCATCTAAAAACCGAAGGAATAATTCTGCAACAGCAGAAGGGTGTCAATACCTGTGAAACCCTGCTATCTATCTTTTTCTTTTTTTTTTTTAGCACCAGCAATCTTTGGGGTTGTGCCTTTTTTTTTTTTTTTTTTAAGAGCAGCTACAACTAGTGCTCTTGTCCAAGCAAGATTTATTTGCTCGACTGCCTCTTCTGACTACTAATGAGATCTTTGAACATGTGTTCGCAAATTGCCAGGCAGTCTGCTTGAGTGGTCTGAATTGGGGGAGGAGAGGGAAGGCTTGATCACTCTTATCACTATTGTGTATTCAACAGAGCTGCAATTTATGCACCTAACCTAATGGCTTATACTGGCAGTTAGTTATGTTGCATGTGGAATCATAGGAACTGTGTGATGAGCTAGTACAGGATTGAATGTACAATAGCCTGCAAATTTTGACCACCAATCAGCATGAATTTTTAAAATACCTTTTTCTATGTAACCACATAGCCTGTGTAGCACAGAGATGGATTGCTTCCTGCAATTTTCAGTTTTTCAGTGTGGGCTTGCAAAGCAGACATTTGAACTTTATTTTTGATGCTATTCCTGGAAAAAGCTGGAATTTTATCTCCAAATCTTTCTATTAACTGTATTTTAGAACAGTTATGTTTTTAGGTTAATGATGGAAAATATAGTGCAGAGTGCCCTTTGAAGAAAGGGAAACTGAATTTTGTAGTATCTTTGTCCCTAACATCTGTCATTTCAAGGTTTTAGCATATAACTAAAGACAGGTTTTTAAAATACTGCCTTCCGCTATACAGTTTTGAAGATACAGTGCTATGTTATTTCAATATGCTGTTTCAATATAGATTTATTTGGTGGTTCTTGTTTAACTTTTTTTTTTTCTTTTTGCCCCCCCCATCCTCTCAGAACTGTAATATGGGACAAGAATAACATCACTGCACAGGGCTTCCAGGACATAGCTGTGGCACTCGAAAAGTAAGTTCTCAAGCAAATGAATGGCTGATGAAGAGTCCAAAGACTTAGATCCAGAATGATCTGAGCAGCTGCGGTTCTCACTGCAGTCAATATGATTTGAAGATGCTGAGCATGCTCAATTTTAAGCATCAAGGTGCTTAATCTAAAGGAAAATGTATGAGTTCACATCCTTCAAAAGGATGGGAAAAAGCTCTGTGGCTCTTTCATCCGTACTCTGTTATCAGCATTAAGGCCATTGAGTTCTGCTGTTAGCATTAAAATTCTGAATTTGAGAATATTTTCACTTTTCTTCATTCTCTTGTGTTCATAGCATGCAGAAATTGTATTCTAGTCAGTGAATGAAGCTGTATAAAATAACAGAAAATTACTGAAGCATCCCTTTGTCATCTGACTTTTTTTTTTTTCTTTCCCCCAGCAAGTTGAAACTAATAGGGATGATCTCAGGAACTGCAGTTGTTCATCGTAATCGCTGTGGTCTGGGTCATTTCGCTTCCCCGAGCTTACTCATAGTTGCAACCTAGTGATAGATGCTAAATGACTTTCATTTCTCTCCATCGCCATCAGATTTCTTTATATGTTGTTATTACTTTTCTTAAGAGGGAAAAATTACAGATTTAAATTAAGCAGCAGTTGTTTCATGTCATTAAATCCCTCAGAGAGGAACAAAGGCTCTCTTTAGAAGGTCAAGGTAATGTACAATTGCTAGTTTCTAGATACGATGTCTTGTAAAACTGTATAACTGTTTAGGGGAGCATCTTAACCTTTGGAGGGGTCATAAGGCTAGAGCTTATAAAGTTACTTGTTTTTTTGAAACTGTTGTAGTTTATGTACTTGGTTTCAAAATGAATTCAGTTGCAGTGATGGGGGAAATTATATAAATGATGTATAATTAAGCAAATCATCTTGGAGTGATTCCGTTGGTAGTAGTGAATAATAATTTGCAAAGGTTATTTGTCAGCTTGCAGACATTTCTCTTTTAGAGAGCAATAGCATGTACTTTTATGAGAAAGTCTGGTAGAAAAGAAAATGTGCTTATTTTATGGCTAGCACCACCTTTTCTGTTCTGAAGTGCTTGGATAAGTAAATAGAAAGGAGGGGGGAATCCTAAGGCAAAAGCAGATCATCTAAGCAGAAAAAAAAAAAAAAAAAAAGAAGTGCTACAGATGGTTGTATGACATTGCACTTTGTTGAGGTGATGTCTCATTTATTTAGCTTGGAAGCTGAGGTCATTTTATGTCTTCTAAAATTTTAAAATTGTTAAAACCATTGATAATATCACAAACTAAGCCACAAGCAGCAATGGTTTCAACTTGCAAGAGAGGGTCTGTCAATACCGGCTGAAAACAATTAGCCTTTAAACAATCCATCTCAAAGACATATTGAGAACATCCTTCACCATATGTTTCCTAAAAATACATGAAACCATCAATATTCTGTAGGAAAGAATTGTTGCTCAAAATGGAGTGCAATATACTGAAGGTGCTTGGGGGTATGTACATTGTGTGTGTTGTTTTGATTTTGTTCTTAAGAAAACTAGTCATATACTAAACCGCAAAAAAAGAAGAAAGCTAGGCATTTGTAGTATGAGAAGGAGGGTGAGGAGAATTGGGAGGTATTGTAAGAGATTTTAAAACAGGCTGAAGTAATCTGAAGGTTGTTTTTTCCCTCCTCCCAGCTTTTCTTCATCTGCTTAAAGTTGTGTGAAAATGCTATTCCTGCAAGGGAATTCCAGGAGCACAGCTGTTGGTAGAGCTGCCCCAAGGGTGTCCCAGCCAGCTGATGTGAAATACCCAGAGGATCTTCTGTAGAGTCCAGTACATGTGTCAGTTCAGGAGAGCATTTGAGAACAGTGGGCGTCCTCTTCAGCCTGGCCATTAAACAGGCATTTGTATCTCTAATTGTAGTATGAAAATAAGCATGTGCTTGTGTGCTTTGCAGCCTAGAGCCCACTCTGTCCTAGAAATGTACAGTCTTGCCCCTTATTCATTTCAAAAAGATATTTTTTTTTGCATGACCTGACTGAAGAAATAGCTCAGGTTCTAAAATCTGCTGGGAAATGCTGGGATTTGTTAGAGAGCTAGGAATCCTTCCCTTAGCAGTGACATGACATTCACATACCCAAGCCTGTAAAACATGATGTTATTCCCATTTTTTTAAAAAATAGGCAGTAAAATCATCACTCTGCAGCACTGTGTCATGAATGGAGCAGAGGTTACTACAAGAGAAGTAACATGTTTTGAAATGTAGGACTGTTGTCACACATGCTATGTAAAGGAAGAGGCAGAGGGGTTTGAGACATCCTTTCCAGTCCGAAATATAACATCCTTTTAATATAGGTATTTTGTCAAGAGTATTAATGTGTTATGAAATTACTGGATTATTGAGTTGGTAGAGAAATGTTCTCTGTTACAAGAGACAAGTGGAGTGTTAATAAAAAGAAGAATGGAGAAATATTTTAGACTTCAAAGGAAACAGAGAAAAATAAAGTGTGAAGATAAATGTTCCTCTGATGATCACAGTTAAAGAGCAAGCTTTAAATTCTTGATTTTTTTTGCCCCTAAGAGCTGGTGAATTCTGAGATGAAAATAAGGTAGCATTCCGATACAATGCTGTCTGTCTGGAAGGAAACCAAGTACAGAGCCTTCCTTAGAGTAGCGGTCTTTTAAAGTTCTGCTTCTGTGACTGAGTGTCCAGGATATCTCCTTGCCTTTCATTCCCCCCTGCTTCGTCTGTGTGTGTGAGGGAGGGTGCACTAAGCCTTTGACTAAATTGAATTTAGCATATAATTACTAGCATGAGAGCTGGCAGTTATAATTTCAATGAATGTGATGTATTAAATGTCAAACAGCTGCAGAGATCCTTGGAAATCTACCTTTGTTTCTTTTTAACTAAATAAATACCCCACCTGCCAGGTAGTAGTCAGGCAATCAGCAAGTTCTGTAATTAGTATCTGTCTTTGAGCTTGGTATTTCTGACATTTAAAAATTGTCCCCATGCTGGTGGACAGCCAATTATTCACTGTTTAGTATTACATGAGGATGCATAACAGGCTCTGTGTAGTAGGCACGGTACTTTTGAAGGATAAGACAACCAGAAAGAAAAGTTAATTTTCCATCTATGATGTAGTAGGCAGTTGGAAACTGCAGAAGGACAGGGACCTTGCTGATTCCACATGAATAACTGCCACTGACAGCTATACATTGGCATGTTTATGTAAGGGAAGAAACATAGAAGTCTTCCATTATCATGTAAGGTAAAATTTTGGGTAGTATTAATGAGGAATCAGTGTGGTTAGCAGTTCAAAAGACTGCTGCCCTTCAGGGAGTGGTGTTTCATGTGGCTGAGCAAATGGCAGGATAGGAAGTGAAAGAACCTTGGAGGTTCACAGCAGTTAAGGAGTCCACTGTTGGAGTTAGTGCAGTTAGTGAGGGATGGGCCCATCAAAGACAGTGGAGTTGACTCAACTGAAATTATCAGCTTTAGAGTGCTCAGAAACAGAGAGTTCCAACAATATTTATGAAGCTCTGGATGGAATAGGAACAGACGGTTAGTGGGACGTTTGCAGACAGCTGAAGGAGGAGGAAGAGATGTTTGCAGGAAATTAAGGCTAATTGAAAATAGGCAGAAGAATTTCCTTTCCAGGTTTTAAGAACTTCCTGCTCTTTTTGTTTTCATTTATTCAAATCTGAAGGTGTGTGGACATACCACTGCATGTAGCATTTTAGGTTTAACTGTGTCACATTAGCCAAGTCACGTTCTTGGAGTTTAAATACAGTTTTGACTCAAAACCAAAACTCTATCTTTATTCTCATATCTCAGCAGATGGACAAAGCTACGGAAATATTTTGCAAACAAATAAGTAAAATGCAGGGAGCAATTGTTTGCGTGAAGCAATGTGGAGATGCTATGCTTGTTTTGTCAGCTTTTATTAAAAATTCAGCAAGTGTCTTCAAATTGTTGTAAACACAAGAAGTTATTAAATAGTAAATTTTCAAAACTCAGTCTCTTAGTCGCTATCTATCTGTTACTGAATATTTCCATTTAGACTTAGATCTGATAAAATTGCCAGCAGGCACTGACACTCCCTCTTACGTTTTGATATAGGAGAAAGTAATTCTACCTGGTGCGCAAAGGTACAGATGACAGCTAGGCCTTTAAGTGACAGCTACGGGGCACTTAACTGCATTTTTTGCTTTTCCAAATCTCCACCTCTATCTAGTGGCAAAGAAGAATTAGCAGCAAAAAGAGCGTGCATGCCTCCAGTTAGTCCACTTACAAATGTGAAAAATATGTTCTTGGTGCCTTCCGTGGGCAAGCAAGATGCATCTTATTTCTCCCTTCTGGTCTTTTCTTCATAAAGAGATACAGTAATTAGGTTACTAATAAAAAAGTATTTTATTTTATTTTTCTTTAGGAATTATACTTTGAGATTCATGCCTATACCGATGAATGATGCTTCCCAAGCACTCAAAACAAATCCCGAGAAAACAGAAGAGGCACTGCAAAAGGTATTGCATATACCACCTGCCATTGTAGAGAAGTAAAACCACTAAAAATAAAGTAATAATTTTAAGTGCCTTCATGCTTGGCTGAGCAAGAATTCTAGGCTAGATTCACTGATTGTTTGATTTGGATGGACATACATGTGGTAATCAAGTGCTGCAAGAGCATATAAGGGTTTTTATTCCAAAGAATGGTTGAAATGAAGGCTGATGGAACGCAATGGTGTAGTATCAAAAAGCCATAACTAAATCAGTGCTAGCTAGACCTTGTATCACTATATGCATGACTATGGAAGGGAGAGTTAGAAACTGGCATGTTTGCTACGTATGTGCTTGTGTGTATTTCCACATGCACAGAATTATTGCTATGCATTTTTTGGTTGGGCATAAAAAGTACAGTCAGCACTGTACAAGACAAAGAATGTTCTTTAATTTGGGGGGAGGATAAAAACATTTACTGCCTGTGTTTTATATTGTATGTATAAAATTCATGCACTGTGTTGCCCTAAATAAACAACTGCACCAATGTGTTCTTTCTGATGAAGAGGTGTTGACAGTATCTGTAGCCATTCCCCTTGCCTGAGTTATAAAACTCTTAGCTGAGTTTTAATATGGTAAATCTTGTGAGCTCCAAATAAGCCACCTCCTCAATCAGAAAGCATACAGTTCACATCTCTCTAATGAGTAGTTTTCATTCAGTGAGGATAAGGTCATAAAAACCTTATAAAGAGTTCTTAGAGATAGCTGTGATTGAAAAGCAAATGCCTATGATCCTTATTAGTAAAGAAATTTTCAGTAAAGTGATTCTCACAGAAAAAAAGTGCCAGTAGTTAGCGCCTTTTTCTTTGATGCGTGAAAATGATCGAAATTCTGCTTTAAAACATCTGAATTATGGGGGATGGGCATATTTCTTACATCTTGTTTAATATAATTGTAAATATGTTCATATCTCTGAAAACAAACTGTGAAGCTTCTTGCCATGGGGATTTAAATTCTACGTGTTAATTAGGCACTATGTACAAAGAGCATTTTGGTTTATTCATTTCAAAGTTGCTAAAACTGTTTGGCCCTGAGTTTGTTTTAACATGTGTGGTTCAGGCTTTCTTTACACAACATGAGGAAGTTCTCTCCAAAAATAAAAAAAAAAGGTAACAGTCTTGGTAGCAGTGCTGTGAACACAGCTAATTCCATGCATGTAGCAATGCCTGCCTGCACGAACTGAGTTGTCATGCCTGGTGCAAGGATGCCTGAACTGACCGGCTGACGTCTCAGGAGAGTCCATAAGCTTCAGCACACCACAGCTTGCGTACTGTGAGAGTGCTCCTGGCCCTGGTCCAGCACCAGGCAGACATAGCAGCTAACCTCCCAAGCTCCAGTATCTCTGCAGCACACTTCTTACAGTGTGGGCAAACTGGATAAACCCTGCATTACTGTGGGGCATGGTCAGACTGTCCCAGTTCTTGCTGCTCATCCACGTTTACACGTGACAATCCCTATTAGTCTCTGCCTCGCAACCTGCTGGCCACCCCACCCATCCTTTTCCCCTCTCTTCCTTTCATACCAGATCCATCACCTTCGATGAACCTTAAACAGTTTATTAGCAGGGTTTTTTGACCTAAGTTTGATAGAGCCGGGTCAGGGGGATACTCTGTGTGCCATTAAAGTGGCTTGATGGTAGATGTTTACTGCTGGGGACAGTTGTGGTAGGCTGTGTCCAGTGGCTGTGAGCAGGAATCACTTGTCTTTGAAGAGCACTAACGTACTGCTTAGCCTTAAGTAACTTTTGAACTGGGGCTCCTGTATCAGTTAAGTACTTTTAGCTATTTTATCTTCTCTCCAGACCATACTGCTATTCAAATCTGTGTCTTTGCAGCGGATCGAATGCATCTAAAGAAATGAATCAACTATCTTGTGTCATCATGCTCTCTACGCAACACTTTATGTATGAGTCCCTTTAAATATTTCTCAAACCTGGATCTACTCCTTTGTCAGTGTAACTTACTAAATTGTTCAAAATAGAAGACTAATTCAGAAAACACTGGCAAAAGCACAGTGTTTAATGATGTTTCACTAGTCAGTGAGTGAATAAATATTGGCCAATGTGATTATTAAGCATTGAGACACACAGAATAAGGTTTGCAAGTAACAAACGTAGGCAGTTTTTCCTGTCAGACCCCATTTCTGACATAGCAGCAAAATGGAAAGCAAATTACCATGTAGAGAGTCAAATCAGTTTCCTAATCTGGTTTTGTTTTTTTAGATAGAAAACTACTTGCTTCGTAATCACGAGACCAGAAAGTACCTACAGGAGCAAGCATACCGGCTGCAGCAAGGCATTGTCACTAGTACCACTCAGCAGGTGAGAACTTGTTCCTTACTGGTACTTCTTGGTGTCTAAAATCTGCCTGGAGACAGACTTCTCTCTCATTCTGTCAGTAGCTTAAAGCAGAATGTGCCTTGTGGGTGACACTTCGTTTTCCAAGAAGTAATAATTATCAATGATAATATTTTTGGAAGGAAAAAAAAATAAGAGCTTTTGTGAGAGGGAGGTCTTATGTATAGTAATACTGTGTAGAGAAAGACCCAAGCTATTTCTGAGTGAACTACTGTTGGAAGCAGGAACAGTTTAGTTCATTCATGCTCAGGAGTCTTGACTTTTCAGCAGACTCTCATCGGTGTGCCAAGCAGCAGCATCAGGCTGTGCCACTTCTGGAGTCTGAGTCAGTTCCAGTCTCTCTGGCTAGCACTGAGCAACCATGTAAACATGCCCTTAGGTACCACCAGAGCAAGTAGCCTGAGAGAGTAAGTCATCGTCTACCTTACACCTTCAGAGCTGCAGGTATTGTGGGAAGGTTTACTTAGAGGGAGGGAGCAAAGGAAGGTGGAAGTCTTCTGTGCTGTTTGTAGTCTGGACAGCTGCAAAGGCTTCCTGTCTAACACAGCCCAAAATACTGCTTGAAGCTGGGAAGTTTTTCCATTTTGTCAACCATTACCAGGTTTCCTAAATGCCACATGTGGTTCTGGTTTTTGGTTGGGTTTTTTTTGGTTTTTTTTTTTCTTTCTCTTGAGAGGACTACAAGCATTTTCTGTGGTAGCTCACCATTCTCTCTGTTCTAGTACATTTCTTGCCAGTACTCCTCAGGGCTGTTCAAGGTGGTATAAGCAGAATAAAACCCGTCGCAGCCTTTGTTTTAAATTTACTTTCATGTTTGTTTGTACCAGTTGTGTTCCCATGCAAATGGGAAACTCCAGCAGACAGGAGAGAAGTATGTGTTTTGCTCTTCAGCTGAGTCAATGAAATTTCTCTCTGTTCTCTGCATTTTTTTTTTTTTTTTGGTGAATCTTAATTCAAAGTGGCCTTTTTCTACCTGTGTTATTAAAATTTAACGGGACAGGGTTTTATTACCAGAACCTGAAATTATACTCTAACCTCTCAACAGAGAAAATGGTACGTGGAGGTGCACTGGCACTAAAAACTGCAAAAACAGCATCACTTTTTTTTATTTTAGAAATTTATCCGTTCCAATGTCACCTTTTTTCCCCATGTTAATAATCTCCATATGAATTAAGTTTAGATCTTTTTATAGCTAGGTGGTTTTAGTTGTGCTTTTCTCCAACAACCACACGCACTCCAGGTTTCAGTAAATGTAATTTATTGTTATTTTGAAAGTAGAGTAAAATTACTCATTTCTGTATTAAATTGTCTATGGATTTTAAAAACAGCTTTAAAATAGAGCTGGAAAAGATTCTCTAGTTAGTATGGTGGAATTGCATTATTATTCCCAGAGTGTGTATTTTTTTGGGTTTTTTTTAATCCAGATGTCCCAACGAGACTTTCCACTGTCTAATAATTAATTAGCTTTTTGTACTTATACAAAAACCCTTTGAAGAGGAAGAGGCATGCAGAACAGAAAAGGAGCATGCTGTGAAATTATTTCAGTTCTCATTGCTAATGATACAAGATGCCAGAACTCTAGACTTTATATGATAATGATACATGCACTCAGATGTTGCTTCAAAATGTCAAATAGCCAGTTCTAGTGAATGCTGTGTGGGCTGATAGACTTGTAACTATTCTGTCTCCCTGCCCTGAATATCTTAATCAAAACTGACTATATGTCAGGCATTCTTATTGGTATGTCTTGTAAAGATACAGATGTACCACCTGCCCTGTATTTGCAGCATGTTAAATGAATTGTGTTGCAGATACAGATTAAGTTCAGTTTATCCCACTGTGAAAGGTCTGATGGAAACTTCTGCTTTGGTAGTTACAGTTCCCTTGCAACTAGAAATGTTTGTATTTTTAAAGAATACCCTAGAAGCCTGTGTAATTGCTTTTTGCTTACACAGGAGAAGTCTCTGTTGGTTTTTGTTGAATGGATAGTGACAGAGCTTTCTTTTACTGTCTGAACTTCTTAACAATTCGGGAACCTTCATAGCTAAGTGTTATGCTTATATTTTGACAACATTTTCAGCATTAAACTTGCTCCAAAAAACCAGAACAACACTTGAACTGGATAACTTGGTTATTTGCAGTTATCCTGGAGGTAACTGTGGGAGAAATACTCCAAAGCATTTATTTGTTTTTCATGGTAAAGTTTTATTTATTTTTCCAATGTTTAGATGTGTTTTTATGAGATATAATGCTTTCCTTCAGTAACATTGATATACCTCCAAGCTCTGATCATGCATTTCCAGATGGTTATATTGTCACTACAAATCTTATCACACTACTATTGATTTGCTACCTGGACTGAATACAGTTTGCGTTTGACCAACATGCCAATGTTTTACCTTTTCTATTTCTTTTGTTCAAGTAGATGATTGACAGAATATGTGTAAAAGTGCAAGATCATCTCAACTCATTAAGAAACTGTGGTGTGGATGCTGTACAGGAAGATGTCAAATCTGCAGAACGGCTTATGCGGGATGCTAAGAACTCCAAAACAGTAAGCCTTTCCCAGCATACTGGTAATACTGAGAGCTGTTCGGTGTGTGCTTGCAGCTTTTCTCTTTCTGGAGAATTAAAATAACTGTGTGTCACAAAAGAGTGTTTTCTTCAGATGTGGGTAGTATTAAAAATGACAATTCTAATTTATAAAGACTTTGATTTAGTAGAGATATTTTTCTTCTATTTGTCTGGATTTAAAGACAGGTAGTGATGAGCCTACTTTCCGAAGCTATTCTTTCTGTCTACAGCTATTACCAAATCTGTATCACCTTGGTGGAGCTTCTTGGGCAGGAGCAAATGGTTCACTCTCCAATCCAATCCAAGAGACACTTGAATCCATGGCTGGAGAAGTCACAAGGGTTGTGGATGAGCAACTTAAGGTCTGTGGATAGATGTGTTACCATCTCTCACATGCAGAAATAACTAAATTTGGTTGCCAAACTTTTTTGTGTTTTACTTTTCAGTATATTTGTATGTAAGCTATCTTTTCATTATTACTTTCTCATAAGTTTGTGCCTTATTATCTGGTAGTTATCTGGATACTTGCCTAGTTGGAATGGAGAAAATTTGCTTTAAGGTTTGCAGTGGGCAGAAGGAGCATATACTGTTTATTATCATCTTATTTTATCTTCTAGAAGGGGAAGACTTATCAATTGCTCCTTAGGCCCTTAATAAATGCATCTCTCAAGCACCCTAAGAAGTTTCATGTCCTGAAGTACTCACTAGTTCAGGTATCCCACTGGAGTGACAGCTGCTTTTCTGTAGACTCCATTGCAGATTTTTTTTCCCAGTGTGAAAACTTTTGAACCTGGTGCAGAGTTTCCACTTTAACTGTTTGGTTTGGATAACTTGTATGTATTGAAAGTGCCCCAAGAATTAGTGCAGGCAGCTTTACAGGAAATCTTTTCACAAGTTTGCTGTCACTCAGTTCTTGAAATAGATGTCATTGATCTGTAAATATTCTCACCTGTGTGTTCAGCCAGCTCTTGCTCAGAAAGTTCTAAGTTCAATTATGTCAGATCTTACTGTATAATAAGCAAGGAATAGTCATCCATACAGCATGTGCAAAGGTATTAGTCCAGGAAGAAGTCAAGGTGGGGAAATTTTAGCAACTGTTGGAATCTGTATGAAAGCTGATGAATTTAAGAATATGGTTCTGAGGCGATTCAGGTCTAAGCTGCCTTGCCTGTGCTTTGCTATATTTAAACTTATCAAAGAATCTGAAAGTGAAGGTTGAACTTTCAGTTGAAACAACACCAAAATGTTTTGGTCAGTGGGAATGTAATGAAGAACAACAATACTACTGCATTACTAATTACTTTTTCAAAATTAAAAAGTTAACAAGGAGGAAAATGGTGCTGAATTTTTAGTATCTTCCTCCCTTTCCCCATTACATGAAATAAGGTGAAGATTCTTTATCACCTTTTTAATTTCTGCAGACATGAAAGAGATTTATCCACAAGATTCTTCCCAGTGGAGCTTCTAGGCTATTATTGGGATGGGAATAGTCAGGTCAGCCCTTAGTGCAGGGCTCATGTGCTTAAATCAGTCCTGTGCATTTTGGAGAGTCTTATAGAAGGGCGGGAGGAAGCCTCTTCAGCATTTGGAAAGTTATTTATAGTTCCTGGCATAAGATTGAGTTAATGAGTCTTCCATTTATGCTTTTACACATTTACAGCAAAAGGCACTTCAGCTCAACCATTCTAACTTTTACATTTACTTTTGACTTGTGTGGCGTTAAAGTTTAAGTGCCTTACAAGAAACTATAAAGTCATAATGCTCTTTGTATATTGTAACACTCATTTTTATTAATTTTACAGTCAAGGCTGAAAGGTTTTCCTTTAAGTTCTATGGTGTTGTACTTTGTGTGGAGGAGAAAATGTTGAACATGGATTAGGATTTTTTTTCCCCAGTTGTTTAGGTCAATTCAAAACATCATATGCACCTTATTATTTGTGAAGATAGATAAGGGAGCTCACATAAGTACAGCTCTTTTTGTAATTGGAGGGGAAGAACATCCTGTGTGCTGTAAGTGGAGTTTTGATTTTTAGCTTCCATAGCAACCTGAGCCTGATTCTAGAAAGAAGTGTTTGGAAATTGGGTAGATTCAATGAATGCTCTTCAGGCAGATAGAGTTGGTTGTTTTTTTTTTTTAACCTCAAAGAAGGGAAGAGGGGGAAGGAAGAAGTTAAAATAAAGAAATGCAACTTCCTGGAGTGACTTGAGTTGGCCAAAGGAGAAATTATAGCAAGGCCCTTGCATTTCTCATCTCCTGCTGGTGTCACTGTGGACACACAGAACCCAGACTTGCTTTATTCAGTTGGCAAAGGCCCAAGGGAAAATCGTAGGTAAGATAAATGGTGCTTAGGTAAGAGCAGATTGGTTTGTAAGGACAGGGGTGCTTGAACTATTCCTCCTAAATTCCATCCCTATGCAAAGGGTTTGTTGGCTCCATCACCTGTTCCATTTTTTCATTAGACACCATCATCCTCCAGTCCTTTTACTCACTGTATCTTTCTCCTGAATGTTCAGAGTCATTAATTGTGGGCAGGACTTTGTTCTCTTCTTTCTGCCTGCCTGTTGACCGGCACTTGTGGCCTTGTGACTGAAATGTTTGCCCTTCCACAGTCAATATTGGTAGCTGTGAGTTTCTGTCACTGAAAGGTTTTGGGATGGAAGGAGGGGGTGGGGAAAGGTTTCTGTAGATGTGGTAAGTCATGTGAAATCAACAGTTGAAATCCACCACTGAAGGAATTATGTTCAATTGTGCACTTAAAGAAGAGTTCCAAACTCTATTTAACTTTTAAATTGCACGCACTCTGAGTATTTTGAGTAAAAATTAAATTTTGAAATTATCAGGTAAGGTCTTTAGTCTTTCCTCCTACTTCCCACTGACACCTTCAAGCAGCATTTTTTCACATGATCCTTTTTGAAAGACCACTCTTAGATCACAATTGTAATTCAACATAGCAAGTCTTTATAACTCTTATGATTGTGATCCATCAAGGCTGAGTGTGATTTTTCAAGGCAGACTACACAGTTGTACCAGTGAATAAATGCCATGGGGAAAAAATGGATGTGTCAGAAATTTGCATTAGTAGTTTACCTGGCATAGTTGTCTCTACCGCTGAAGCTCTTCATCCTCCACGTGGATATGGCCACAAGGGCTTGAAAGGCTCTTTGTTAGTGTTACAGCCCCAGAATCTACTTGGGGATTGAAGGAGGGAGGGCAGGAGGAGTCCTTAAAGTGCAGAGAGCTTGGGAACCCGGAAACAAGCTCCATGTCAGCTATAATGGCAGTTGTTCCTTATACCTGTAAATCACGTGTTGTAAAGATCAGATTTCCCTATATACTGTGGCTGCTTCATGCTGCTCTGTTGACCTTGTGAATCTACACTTAAAAATCAGTCAGCTAAGAGCTACAGGCTAAAAGATGCTGTTTGGAAGCATTAAAATTATTATGCATTAATCATATTTTTGTTTCTTACTCGGTATCTACATATAAAAATTGCCAGATATGGTAGGGCTATGCAAAGAGAAAAAAGCTCTGATAACATGGAGTTCAGCCTGAGGTCACTTACCTGTGGATTGAGATTGAGAAGAAGAAGGAAATGCATAGAGTTTTCAAGGGGTGCGATTCATTATTTTTGTACAAATTTGAAGCACCTAGGTTAGAGCTAGCCTTAATGAAACTATGATTTTGTTTCTTTTTTTATTAAGTACCTTTTTCTGTTTGGTTATCAAACTTCAGCTTACTGGAGGTGACTTAGCCCATTTCAGTAAACTGGACTCTGTCCCATTCTGTTCCTCCCTTCCTCCCACCTTCCTTAGGATTTTGAAAAGCTGCTCAAAAGCTGCATGTGACATGGCGTATATTGAAAAATCTGACATCATCTATTAGTTGCTGCTTTCCCCACTTGTTTAGAGGATTCAAAGTTGGGGGAAATGGGTCTTGCACATACACTGAAGCGTGAACCTTAGTTTTAATTTGTAAAATGCCTTTTATGTTGCAGCTGGATTGCAAAATGGATTGGAAATTAGGAAGAAAAATAGTAAAAATTACAAGTCTTAAAGTGTTATAGCACTATGCACCAGAACAATGCTGTGATCTTCCTGCTAATGAAAATCTCTATACCTGATGTTAGCTTTTGCTTACTGTGCCACAGACACTCCTTGAGTCTATGGTGGATGCGGCAGAAAACCTTTGCCCAAATGTAATGAAGAAAGCTCGCATCCGTGAAGACCTGATTGAGGCTAGCACTGAGAAGATTTCCATTCCACGCACTTTTGTGAAAAATGTCCTCTTGGAGCAATCTGGAATTGATATCCTCAATAAAATCAGGTACTTTAGAAGACTAATCTAACAAAATTGGTTATAGAATTTGGATTTTGGTTTGCATGTATGTGTCTTTGTGTAGTAGAAGATTTTTGGAATGCTTTTGCGACTCACAAGGAACCATATTAAGGCATTCAAAGGGTAGGAAATTGTCCTACAGGTCTGGTGAACTTAATTCAGGAGGCTGAAACATTTGGAATCTCCAGGAGTGTTAACTTGGTCATTAATGCATGTGCTTCTGGTTTATTTAGTAAGAGTTTTGGTTTATGGTACACAAGTAACATTTTCATGACCGATACATTTTTTTGAACCTATTGATGTTCTCAGGTAACACTGAATTACTGTAATAGAAGGAAATTGCACTTATTTGCTTTGAGTGTTAGCAGTGCTTTGTCTGTTGCTGCATTTGGTTTTGTCCTGTAGCTGTAGCAATCACTTTAAACCTTTTTATTTGTTTGGGAGTTGTGCACAGCAGACAGACATACTCAAAAAATGGAAACTTGGATATTCAAACCACAAACCTGGAGCAGAGACAGCTACCCTAAACAACTCCTAGTTCGCTTTTTTTTTTAAAAAAAAAAAAAAGAGGGGGAGGAGAGGCTTTTAACTGACCTTTTACTGCATCTTTTTTTCATATTAAATATATACCAGAGAATATATTTATGCACTATAATGTGGTTGACCTGTACTTAAACCTTTGCAGTTGCCATCATTTGGCTAAGGAATCCTTTCTGCTTGATGGAAAAGCATGTCATTTTGCATTGTGATGCTAATATCTTTGCAGAAGAAGAAAACAGTAAGAGGTAGGAATTAGTTTTGCAGAGTGCAGCAAAATTGGCAGGAAAAGGTGTTAAAGGCTTTAGCTATGCCTTCAGAGTGTTTAAAATGGTTCAGGGAGTGAGTTTTCTTCACTTCAGTCGTATCAAACAAATCTTCACCCTGAGACAACAATAATGCCCCTTCCACCTGTAGAAGCTGTGACTGTCAGTGGGGTGAGGGTGCCACACTGTCACCTTTCCTGCCTTCTATTATTTGAAATTAATATGTAAGTAACTGAGGGAAATCCCTTCACTCTGACTCTCTTCCCACCATGGCTTGGCCACCATTCTACCTCCCTGTGAATTGTGTTACCTTTTCAAGGAGTTTCTTACCTTTTTCCCCAGGCTTTCTGAAGCAGTAGTGGTAGCCCCAGGTAGAAATAGCTTTGTTAATCCAGTGCAACTCAGTCCACACAAAACCTTAAAACAAAATCATGTTACTTGCTAGCAAGTGTCAGTTGAAGCAGTTGGCCTTGAAACCGCAGAGGCAGGAGAGATGGTGTGTTGGTGTTTCACGTACATCAGTGTAGTGGGAATAGCTGACATGAAGTTCCTGAGACAGAAGGTGGTTACCTAGAGCAAAAAGAGGAAGCAAAGTTGTGATGGGAAAGACTGGAGAAGCAACATTGTACAGTTGCCCTTCAGCTGACAGACAAGCACAAAAAGGAGTTGAGGAAATGAGTAGATTGTAGTTGTTCCCTACAGTACTGTTAAACAGGCAGCACTGTCCTAATCCCATTCATATGAGATTTGTGTTTCTGTAACTTCAGTGGCAAAGTGTTCCTTACTGAGTTTCACATGTGGTTTCTATTCAGCTCTCTTAGCCAGATGTTTTCATTTCAGCTGTTAGAAAAATTTTAGAAGCAGGTTAAATATGGTACAGAGGCTCTTGTGTTTATTGTGTGATTCATGAGTTTATTTCTGAAACCTGCAGTCATGTATCCTGACACCCTCTAATGTTTTATTTTAAATAAAGTGACAGCAACTCTGGATAATCGTTGCACTGTTGAACATGCAATAAAGACAAAATTCTCTTGCGTGAATTAAAATGTCTCGTTTTTAATCCTCACACAGTGAAGTAAAGCTGACAGTGGCTTCTTTCCTGTCTGACCGAGTTGTAGATGAAATCCTGGATGCACTTTCCCATTGCCATCACAAACTGGTGAGTATTTGCGTGGTCGATATCTGAATATACTGGGTATGTTAACAATGCCATTACATTTATAACTTGTTCGGTTTCTCCTTAGCACAGCTGCATTTAGAAATTGGTCTTACTTTCATTGGCATCACTGACATCATGTGAAATATGGTCAAGGGACTCTTGCCCCTTTGCTTTAAGGAGTATACAACCTCGGAAGAGGCTGCATTATATATTTGTCATATTATCTTTTGCGCTATTTTCAGATCTAAAACTAAAAATACCCTTGGGATGCAACATTGAGTCACTAGTTAAGAACACTGCCAGTAGTTGTCCTGGTGAGATAAGGGTTGGTTGCTTGTGAGATGAGAGGTAAAATTTCATTCTTTAGAGAGAGACTGTTAAGACCTTGTTCCCTGAATGAATTCATCTTGAGGCTACTTCAGAACGTAGGTATCAAGTTTGAAGAGAAAGGAATAGAAACATAGAAAAGGAAGCAGTTTGTCATTTGAAGGTGCGGAACTGTCAGAAGAGAGAGTTCTTTATTATAAAGGTACTTGCTTCATCAAGAGTTGAAGAAATAAACAACTGTATATCTACAGGAAAACATTTTGATTTCTAATGCAATGGGCCTTTGTAAGGAGAATCCAGTACATTTAGGTTTTTTTAAAGAAGCTGTTTGGCTGGTCATGCTCCTGATTGAAATTGCTCTTCATTCCTGTTTGAAATTTCCCTTATTTTACCTTGCAGTCATGAGTTTATTCAAATGCTTTTCCCTAAAAAACAAGATAAGGGAACCATATATATTTCTCTTTATTTTCCTCTCTATGAAAGTCCACATACACAGAAAACAAATCACTCTTTGCTTTGTTTTTTTCCCTCTTTTTTTTTTTAAAAATAAATTAAAAGACTGGGTTATTTGAGGGTGTGTCTTCGTGCTACAGAGCAGTATTGTGTAAAGTCACAACCTCTGGTCTCAGGAGCTATGTAGCAGCATCAGCCTGCTGTGTGAGTGGCCACGTTAATTAGCTCCAGTTGGTCCTGGAGCAGGCTCAGCTGGCATCAGTAGTGGGCTGGCTCTGTCCAGGGATATTGCACAACTTGGACATACCCTGACTCTTATACAGTCAGTCATTTTCTCCAGCCTTTCAGTCACTTCAGTAACAGTCCTCTGCTTTTTCTCCAACTGTTTTAAAAGCCTCTTTTAAAATGATGGTCCCCAGAACCAGACAGACTATTCCAATGTTTTAACCAACACCGTACATAGGAGTTAAATTGTTTTTTCTCCTGACATTCTTTACTCCTTCTATTTGCATAACGAAGGAGATAAGAATTCCTTCCTTTCGTCAGAGTTTCAGTGGTAGCTCATTTTCAGGACTGGGTTTGGCAGATCTCTGTCCCAGTAATGGCTTCTGAATGCTTGTCACTCATTGCTCTTCAGGATTGTGTCCATAGCTAATTGCCAGTGCTCTTGGTTCCTAAGGCATGGTTGTCTATACATTTGACTTGATTTGATTTACTTTGTGATCCATTTTGGCCTGCATTAGTAACACGTCCCTTTCACTGTTTAACTCTCCCTTGTTTCTGGTAGCTGCAGATTGTTTCAGATAGTATAGCACTGATGGAACTCAAAAATGCTGGTGGAGCAACTCCTGTCTAATTTATCAGTGTTAATCTTCAACTGACAGCTGCAATCTGAGAGCTGGCAGCTATTTCTTAATACAGCAAAGATTAAATGCACTGTTACAGTTTTGTGCCAGCTCTTTAAATTGGAGTGTCACGTACAACTAATTCAGCCACCTACAAATGTCTGTGGATGTTGCATTGACACAGTAGTGTTTGAGGCAAATTTGAGAAATAAACCTGGTTTGACAAGACCTCCGTTTGCCTAATGTGATGATTATTATTATAGCCATTTTGGTGTGATTAAAGATAAATCTAACAGCTCTCCAGAATTTACTTGTCTCTTTACCCTTTTTTATGGTTAACAAAACTACAATCCACTGGTTGTCCAGAGTCCTGCTAATGTTAAGCAGTGGACAACAGCTCTCCCTAGCTGCTTCTTTGAAAGCTTCTGTGGCTAACTGATTTGGGCCAGCTGATCTTCAAACACTCTTAACAGATGTTATTTAATCTTGTCTTTAGTTACCAACAGAACTAGAAAGTATTTCATAATTTTCCTGACAACATGAACCCACTCCATTTGAGTACAATCCAGGATGGTTTATGTAACATTCTCTGTGTTCTTAGTAACGGGTTTTGCTATGCAGGTCTAATAAGGGATTTTATTATTGTTAGAGTTTTTTCTCTCTGATATGTTAAAAAATCCCACGCATCTATCACTAATGATTTTTTTTTCTTTTTATGGTAATTGCTACCTATTTCTTCAGTGAAACAACTGAGGTTTTTAACGAAGTCGTCCTAGTTTTTGAATAGGGGATGATAACGTTTTGGCCATCTAATAATTATTGAAATTATGTTAACTGAAACTGTACATGTCTCTGTGTTATTTAATTCAAAAATAGTCCATAGCAAAGCTTCTCTTCCACCTTTCTTTATAATATAGATGGGACAAATACTGAGGAAGCCCTATAACAGTAGTGTAAGTTAAAAGCAGGGTGGCTTTTTATCTGATCTTTTTTCCTTTTCTTTTTTTCTGTTAGACTTTCTCCCTTCCTCCTTAGAATTTGTGATGGGAGGAGTTTTCCCTCCAAAAAAAGAGAAAAAAACAAACCAAAACAAACTCTGTGTGAAGATTAACACACACAGTTGAGCTTTGCTTTTGAAATTGGTCTTATAGGATCTGTGATCTTATAAGACTTAAATTCTGCAAGCTGTTTTAGTTTGATTTGCCTTTTTTCAACAGTTTGATTGATCTGTTCCTGTCTTTATCCTTGTCTCCAGGCTGACCATTTGACCAGACGCGGCAAACCACTTCCACAGCAGGAACCACTGGAAATTGAGTTAGCAGAAGAAAAGCCAACTAAACGCTCTATCATCACAGTTGAGGAGTTGACAGAGATAGAACGTTTGGAGGATTTGGACACTTGTATGGTAAGACATGTTCCTCAGCCCCTTTCGTTAAACACACAAATAACTGGAAGAAAAATGTTTTTTTAAAATGTCATTTGGTGATTTCATGGTCTCAGGAAACTGAAGTTAGGAATTGGCTTGTAGGGGGGGAAAAAAAAAGTTAGCTTGTGAACATTTTGTCTGAGTTGCATATTGTTGTTCAGCGAACGAAAAGCTTTTCCCTTTTCTTTGTGTCCCTTTTCCTGTTACCTATTCAAGGGCCTTTCCCTTCCATACATTGCTACAATCAAGCTCATAGAATAAGCATTTCTTTCACTGGCCAAAGTTTCACAGAGGTTCAGTTACAGTAATAAATTGGACCATGCTATCCATTGACAACATACTGCTTTCTGCTTTTGTCTTCCTTGTACTTGATGTGAATTCCTCTGAGCTATAACGAAAAATGCTTCTGCCTGGAAATTATGTTATTGGCCATGAACAGAAGCTGATTTTTTTTAAAATCAGCTTTTGAATGTATGGAAGAAGTCTTAAAGCCTTGAGACAAGGCTGCAAGTGACCCTACAGGGCAAGCTTTTAAAAAATAATTGAGTTAGGAGTGTGAGATTCAGTAAAAATGCTGAACATAAATCACTGCAATACCTTATAAAATCCCATGTGTGACTTTTATTATAAAAGATGGCTACATGCCATCTCATGATCCTTTAGGAGATGTAAATCTGTACGATTCCAAACAAATGGGTTGCTAACTATTTTCAATCTCAAATCCCCCTCCACCCGACTCGCAGTCTGAGGAACTCTACTGTGGACAGAACTTCAGGAAGCCCTTTTCTATTACAGCGTAGTCAGTCTGATAGGTGGTCACCGCTGCAAGGGATGGGCTTTCTTTTCTGCTTCCTGCCTGGCTCCTTAGCCATGTGCTTTCACAGCAAGCTAAAACGGCAGAAAAATTGATTGCATCTTTTTGTAGAAGAAGTTTTGTTGATTCAGCTCCCTGAGTAGACTTACTGCAGTCAGACAAGTACAGCACAAGAGAAGGAACAGCAGGGTTGCTCCTTTCTCCAGCAGCAGATCTGTTGGTCTCGCTTATCTATAAAATGAAAGCACACCTTCATTGGAAATACCACCTTAAAATAGTTCTTTCTCCTTTCCAAATCTCCTTCTTCACCAAGATTTGATTTGATGCAATATTTGTCTGAACATGACAAAACCCTGTGAGGCAAAACCCTGTTAGACAAAACCCTGCATCATCTGGCTCATCACTGGTACTGTCAAGTTCTTGACACCTTCTGTAGCCAGCATTGAGTAATCATTTGGAGCCCTAAATCCTGTGGGAGAGAGACATCCCAATAAAATACATAGCATCTGAATCTTGTATGTGCAAGTTACTTTCTGCATGCTGGCTTCATATATAAAAAATAAGCGGTCATTCTGGCCCCCTCCTTCCCCCTTTAAATTTATTCTTGCAGCATGTTAAAAATAATAATACTGGAAATTTAAAAAACAGCTCCTGTCTTTATCTTATATCACCATGGTTATATGAAAGGATCATATCGCTGTGCTGTTATCTTTCACTTTGGTCATATTAAAATAATGGAAATGTGATGATGCTTACACTGTTTAAAAGATGCATTAGATGCTAACGGTACTTATTTTCAAAAGTGTTTATATCTCTCTTCATTCTCTTCATTCACCCTCATCCTACACAGAGATTCAAATACCTTTGTGACCCAGATTCTCATCAATATCTAATTTCTCAAGAGAATGAAGTTTCAAATAAACATAAGGCAGTAATCTTAGTGCTAAAGAACCCATTTATTAAAAACTGTAATCTGTTTTTAAGAGCTGCTTTTTGCATCCTGGGTGCGAGTGATATCAGTTGCTGTTGTAAATATATATATATAAAAATAGATAGCCCGAAGAGGCTGAGTAATACAGGGATTTTTACTTGAGCTAGTGTTCTTACTGAGCTTTTTGCAACTACAAGCATCTTAAGAATGGATTTTTTTTACATTTTCTGAGTGGAGTTAGTAACTTCAAAGATAGTGCTTTCCAAGTGATGTATTTTAGCTACAGGAAGATCATACGGATTTCAGATACTGTCTTCAAAAAATTAACATGATTTGTAGCATCTTTTAACTGTCATACAGATATTTGCATGGAAATGCAAAAAACCTTCTGAAAGGGGCAGCAGTGAATGCTTTGTGAGCTGGCCAGTGCAGGAAACAGATACATTGCTAAAAGATTTTACTAGAAAGAGAAGCATATGGTTTTATGAACTATAATTATGAACCTAATTTCCTTTGATTATTTTTAATCTTAAATGAGAAATAGCTATTTAGATCCCACTTCCAAAAGGGCATTAGTCCAGAACGCTGCTTTGTGTGGCCATTGGAAATCCCTAAGCAGTACAGTGTGTAATGCTAAAATGGATCTTAGCTGCATGAGTAGGTGATGCACCTGGCTGTGTATTCCGCAAACCTCGATTCTGAAATCTTGACTTGCCGCTTGGTGGTGTGCATGTTTGGGAGCCAACCCTCCTATTGCCAAAAGACTGTGAAACGTGGCATAAGGCTGATCGTGTCGCTGGGATGCCGGGAAAAACTCTCCTATTCTAAGCCATTTCTTTTCCATAAATGTCTTTCACTTTGCTCCAACTGTTTGTCAAGATGTCTGGGGAAGAAGAGATTTTGGGCTTATAGGAGAAGTACAGAGCTTGGTCCATCGTTTAGGGGTAGCTGGGGTTTTTTTTCCATTTGCAAAACTGGATTCACTTTGCAAACCCATTATCTTCAGCAAGCCTTTTCTCTTTGTTCTTGTTTTCTTCAAGAAACCTATCAAGGATCAGTATTCTGGCTGAGGCAATGTATACAACAGTGTGTTGTTATGCACCAGCCTCCCTTGTAGATGTATTTGAACAGCTTGGGGGGAAAAAATGGATCTAGGTTCAGTTTTGACTTTACGGTTGCACGTAGATTATATAGCACTGAAACTAGGTGAATGACTGTGGATGAGGTAGACGTTTTTGGAATAAAATGCTTATAGGCTGTTTGTTCTTACAACTAGATTGAAATTGGAAGATGTGAAGGTTCTTTATAAAACTCAGGCAGAATAGGGGTCTGAAACCTCTAGTGCTGGTGGTAGAGCGCACAAACAGGCTTTTGCACTGGTGTGTTTCACAGCCTGCCCACCTATTCTCGAGTGGGGTGCAGAGTGGCTCTGTCTGGGGGGGCTTTCTGCGCCAGAGGTAGAGACTTGCCATCCATCCGTTTCGAAGCTCGAGATGTGTAAACACCACAGACAAGACAGAATGAAATATCACAAATGGACCCTTGAAATGCCCCACTGAGAAAAAAGACTTTTACATGTTATTTCTAGTGTTTTTTCATTGTGGGAATTAGGACTTACTAAATACCAAACTGTGTAGTTAAAGCTTGTTAGCTTCAGTTTAGGATTTGATTCTCATCCAGCCTTTAATGATGGCCAGAGAGCCCATAACATGAAAGATTTGTCAGTCATACCAGAGATTGCTAGTCTGTGAAATGACTTCTGAAGAACACTGGGAATGATTGAGTGGTCCAGTGTAGGATGCGTTAGCTGGAACATTATGGACCACGAGAGTTTCTGATCTCCCTGAGCTGCAGTACAGTAAATTGATGCTTCCCTAATCTACAGATGTCTTAGTTGTCTGTGTTTAATTAGAGCTGATGGTAATAAGTCATTAGATAAAAGTTGTGTGCAATTAAGATGGAAAGAAAAATCTTTATGCAGAAAATTACTTACTGTTCTCAGATTAAAGGAAAAACCATGACCTGCTTTTCAGAGCTTAGACTCAATCATGAATTAACTTCATAAAATAGTGGGGTTTCTCTAAATTTTTCTGTGCATATGTGACAAGTGACACATTTTAAACTAATGCATGCATTTTAAAACTAACTTTAAATAAAGTACCCTTTTTTACTGAGGTCAAATATCATGTATCTTGGTATGTGTAATTCTGTAGGTAGACACTAACTGATTTAATTGTGCATAATGCTTCTAGTTGTACTTTATTCTTTCATAGCTATTAGTTGTTTGCCGAAGTAAGAGATACGAAATGATGCTCAATTACCCACCAAAAGGTAATGGAGCATCTTTGTTAGATTGTGTTTAACAGCTACATTCTAAAGCTGCTTTTTTGTTTGGGTTTTTTTGGTGGGGTTTTTTTGAGCTTCTGAACGTTAGTTTGGCTTCCAGAATACTAAAAAGAGATCACTAGAGTTGAGCCTACTATTTAAAGAAAAGTTTTGAGAGAAACAGCTTTTTACTAGAAAACTGTGTACTCTTCATCTTTAAAATATCCATTTCAGCAATATAATTTTATTGCTATAGTAAGTAACAAACATACAGCCATAGTCAGTATTGTTTTTAGAGCAAAGCAGAGGCTCTTTGCATTATGAAGAGGTATGGTAGGAAATTGTTTGAAACACGTAAAGGAATTGTAGGTTGTAATACACAAGTCTGCTTATAAATCTTCTTTAAAGCATTTCAATGTAAGGTTGAAATGCTTGGATGATAAATTATGTGTTTGCAAAAATACTTGTAGCAAATAGGACTTTCTGTGAGGAATATTGAACCTTAGCCATTTCTCATCTGTTTCTAATTTTAACCATAGACATGATTCTGTGACTTTAATGGAGGAAAGTTGGGGGTATTTTGAAAAAATTTCCATGAGAAATATATTAAATTTTAGTTTTATTGAACAACAGATTTCACCTGTACAGTACAAAAGAGAATTTGCAGAAGTAGCAGGACACTTGCAAAGTGATGGTGTATGTTTTTTCCTGGGAATGTATTAACTAGTCCTTGTCAAAGATTTAGCATATTAGTCCAGTATCCAGATGAAGACATATGAACCCATGGGTCCTGAAAGACAAAGAGTGTACCTATCTTAGTGTTTTCAGAGAAAAAGGAGAAATTCCACACCATAATTCTTTTTTTTTTTTTTTTTTTAAAAAAGAAAACTCACAAAGCACCACCTGAAT